TTGCACAGTAGAGATTTCTATAATTGATGTCATTTTTCTTAGAAACTACGGGACAACCTGTATACTGGTATTCAACCCATTGAACAATTGTCAAGACGACATTTTATAAATCCTTTCGATCTCTAATTAAAGACCCAGTCTTTTCTAGCAGTCTAGATCGATGTGTGTCCTAGTCTAAGGATATTTATTAGTCAGACCATGTTCATATTTTCACTATATAAGGGGGGCAGGGGGGGCAGAAGAAATATGAAGGAGAAAGGGGGGCAGGATTAAAATGTGGGAGGTCGAGTCAAAAATCATAATTCTAAAATGTTTAAACTGACTATATACAGGGTGAGTCAAAAAAAAGTGTGATTATTTCAATCAAAATCTAAAATTTTATAAAGATTGAATAATAGAATCACAGAAAATTCGCAAAATTGTAATAAGAAAATTTGCAATTTTTAGTTCTAGCCTAATTTTTAAGGATAAGTTATTTAAATTCTTAAAAGGGGAGCAGGATTAAAATGGGGGAGGGGGGAGTCAAAAATCATAATTCTAAAATGTTTTAACCAACAATATATGTTTTTGAGAAGGTATACAAATTTTATATATATAAATTTGGTTTTTAAATCAAAACTTTATTTCAATCACCTGCTGCTATGCAATTTTCAAAAGTTTTAATTTGATTATGGGAATCTTGATTGAGTTCTATGTACAATACATATATAAATATTCAATGCAAGTTTTTATCATTTGAATGATTAACATTCAAAACCAGCTAATTGCAATACAAAGCATTATTATGTTCGTTATATACGCGTGTTACAGCCACTGCACCCTCAAAGAACTTTTAATATTTGCAACTATGTGGTAGCTGTTTTTCTTGAATCCCACTTTCTTTTGATATTTGCAAATGTAGCTGTTTTTCTTTTGATCACACTCTCTTTTGATATTATGGGACCCATACAACTTTGTAGTAGGAAAGTTTTTTATGTTATATTTATGTAGCAAATAGTTTTATCAGTAATTAGAAAAATACTAACTATAAAATGGGCCTGTACAAGTGCTACAATTAAGTTTAACGTCGTTAACATATTCAGCAATTTTATTTGGACCACTTTAACAATAGATTTTCTGAAATGTTTCTTCTTCGGCGATATACAAAGTCGTCTTCTACAAGCTTTAATTTATTTTTACTTTATTTATAATACATAAAATAGTAGTGGAGTGATTTCATTCCAATCTTGCCTTACACATTCTTGTAATTAACTTAATTATAAAGCAATGTTTACCGTGTTTACTGTTTACACTCCTTATGAATCTTTAAAAGTTACTCAGATCACAGTAAATTAGGTTTTCTGGTTAAAAGTCAGACGTCAGACATATTCAACTTTGGAACCCATTTTCACCCGATATAACGATATAACGATATAACGATATAACGATATAACGATATAACGATATAACGATATAACGATATAACGGGCGTTGAAGAATGATTTTTCCTATTTGCTATAAATGATACTTTTTGTTGGACTATTTATTTAACATATGAAAATATATAAAATAGGACATATTTCGATATCAATCAGATCTTTTTCGTTGTATTTAGTTTTTTTTAATATAAATGAGATCTAAATAATTTTTGATGTAGATATATCAAGGCTATAGCTAGGTATATTTAATGAAAATTGTTTTTGTTTAAAAAATAATTCGTGTAAAATTACAGTAAGGAGAAGAAATACCGTCTTTGTTATAAATCATTTTACTTCATTTATAAATGTCGCTAAAGATTTTGTCATTTTTGATTATAATAACTAAGATTGATTATGCGGGTTCAAAATAAACGTTTTAATATAAAAGGTCTAAACCAAGCAGGTTACAAAGATATAGAAATTAGAAATTACGAATTTCCTTTCTATAGATGCTAAAAGAAAAAACAAAAAGTGATAATTACACCGTTTTCTGATTTCAACAGACACATGCTGCATATTTCTTTATATCTGGCGTGCAAAATATATATATATATACGAGGCACCCTGTAAATCTAGAATTAATGAAAATTGTTTGTGGTACACCCTGTTGTTGTGAAGATATTAAAGTGTGCAGGGAAAGTCTGACATTGACCACCGCGTAGCTCAAATTCTCAAGATTATCTATATCCGAGTCCGACCATATGGCGGCTCTAGCGGCTCCTTATGCTCGCATTATGTGAAAGTTTGGGAAATTAATTTCCCTTTCGTTTCGTTTAAAATGCGCTTTTTTCCGACCGAAAAATGTTTTTTTTTATTTTTAAATTTGATTATATGTAAATAATTTAGTCTTTGCCACAAACTCTGATTTGCTAATCCCAATATCATTGCAATCCAATGTCGTATACTAAACTAAGTTAAATGAAAAATTATGTTCAATCAAAAAATCTTTGTTTGAAATATCAAAGGTTTACACCATCAAGTTGCAAAGATATGGGAATTCGAAAATTCGAGTTTTTGACAAAGACTCAGTTCTTTTTGATGAAAAACACATGCAATCTCTGTGACAATGCATTCTTGTTTAAGAATTTCTATCATTTTTAAATCAAAATTATGTTTCATCAAACAAAAAAGGCGATCCATAGAACATACGGAATGGAGTATTTGAGATAAAACACAATATTTTTGGTTTTAGCAACTATAAGTAGCAAACAAACATGACTTAAAACAAAATTCATTTTTCATTTTAAATGTTTATAACTTCCTAATAACTATGTATATTTAGGATTCAATCTCTACAAAAAATTGTATTTAAATATTAAGATATTTGCTGTCAGTCCAGATGATTTATGTACATAGACCCTACGTATATCTTTAACTATGGAATAACTTTGGAATAGAGTTTACCAAAAAATACACGATATTTTTGGTTAATTTAGTAGTAAAAATATTAGGATTTATAAAAGAAAACATTCATTTTAAGTTCAATGTTAATGTTACATTTTATATGATTTTCGGGACACTCTGTTTTTTAGAAATTAATATAGTTGAACTGAATTTATGTATTTGGTTTGACAGGAGAAAATCTGCCTGGGTTTTAAATTCCAGATTGTTTACTAGAAAATCCATTTTAGGTCTGACGAGTAAGCAATCATATTCATCCGTTCTTCACCCTGCGGCCTGTAATACTCCTTCCCCTTACTATACTCTTTCCATTCTTTGATTTTAAATATTATACGTATTTTTTACAAAATTTTGATCCAGACGTGCAAAACATGGCTCCAATTACGCTTAATTTGATTTTTAATTATTGTCTTTAACCGACTTGGATCTACTTGCAAATACTTCATTTCGCATTTTCCCAAAGTCTCACATTTGCGTCATTTTTGGATATATTGTGTGTAATATAACGATATAACGATATATATTGTGTGTATATGCACTGTATGGATTATCTAGTTAACGTTGAAAATATTACACACATCACAATTATTGTATTTATTGAGTGTAACGATATTACATAATATTTGCCTTAAACTTAGCAGTTTTCCCACACAAGCATCGTTTATTCTTATTTTCCAGGTTGTTCCAATAATCAAACATTAAAAATATATTTGTCACTTATTATCTAAAATTACTGATCATACAAAAACCAATATAAATATATGATCAAGTTAGAGATGTGATTACATCAGCAATCAAATGCTCTTTTAACGCCTCAATATTGATTACCACCCATGGCTGATTTAATAATGCTGAAATAAAAAAAAAACTTAAATGAAATATTTTTCATCGAAATTAACACTATAAATTAAATCAAACATAAATGTAATTGAAAACCATTTCAAACCAAACTAAAAGTTTAAAAAATACTTTTATTTATTGAAACTGCCTGCATCCTTCCACAGATTGAGAAATTATTTCTAATTTCTAAGATGTTTAGTTGATGCGCGTTTGGTAGCGCTCACATACAAACACCCCGACGCACAGACATCCCTGACGATTTCTAGCAAGCGACAGTTTGGTCAGTTCTATTCCACAGTATATAGATAAACATATATACTGCAGTAGAAATAAAACTAGATACAAACTGCAGTTTAAAAAGAAATAAAACTTCAGCAGTGAAAAATAATGTTAAACACAAAGTGAAAAGTCAGAAGTGAATACAAACTAGATTACTTAAGTTAACCAATTTTATTTTTAAAGGGGGGGGGTGCGAATTGCTTTATAAATTTAATGTAACTTACAAGCAGTTTGGAACCTTTTTTAGCATTAAAGTTATTATTTATTTAGTCAGACTTAAAAATGATGTAGCGAAAAAAAAACTGTTAAAAAGTGCTCGAACTGTAGAGAAGAGTGAAAATGTTCTCTAACGACTATTTTGTTGATGGAGCTGACAAACCGACCAATCACTCCAACATTCACAAATCCACCAAATTCAAATATAAACAACACATTTTAAAATCTCCCAAAACTTCGAAGTCTAGATTTGAGAGTACAGATGTAGTAAAAAGTTCCACAGAGGCACATGAAAGACACGAGCACCATGGAAAACAAAATAAATGTCAGTGCCGACATCATCAGGAAAAACGTGGCGAAACGAGGCCGCAAAGCTCGTCGTTTTTAGAGGCAAAACGAGTTTTTAAATCTGGTAATTATGGCTTGATAAAATTTCTTCGGCAAAAGACTTTCGAGTACCTTAAACATTTAAAACTAAAAATTTTGAAAGATCAAATAGACTATGTTTGAAATATCAAAGGTTTACACCATCAGGTTGCAAAGATAAGGGGATAAGGGGTTGTGACAAGAACGCGTTTTTTTTATATCCCATCACTAAATTTCTTTTTTAAAATATTAATAAAAAATTGATTAATTCATATCGTTAGTATTTTTTAAAGAATGAATGGCTATGTTAAAATGTGTGTCAATATGACTATTAGTAAAAATTATTCTTTTTCTCATATTAATTGATTTGCCTGAACTGAATTTAGGCTGAACTTGAAACATATTACATGAATAACCTTTCCCCCCCCCATAATATTGCAGCTGCGAGTGAAGTTTGTCAGGACCAGGATAGCCTAGACGGTCACTCCGTCCTTCCCTCGCCGCTTGACCGGAAACCTCCGCCCCACAGACCGCCCAAACCAGCGGTAGATCCGCCCAAACTCGCCACACCATCACCTAGAAAACTCTCTGAAGTTGATACAAAGGTAGGTGGCTGGTCAGAAAATCAAATGTCAGATGTAAATAATTGATCAATTTAAACTTTTTTGAGGTAAAAACTTCATATGACGAAAGCCTCTTGCCTCTTTAGTTTTCAAAGTCAATGTATTATTTCATGTATTGAGTGTGAAGGCTGTTCCTAGTATAGTTTGTTCTGATTATGATTTGAGTTTTCCAACATACATTACTAGTATCAAATGGGTTTATATTAATTATATGTAATTCTTTCATTTGAAATCTTGAATGCTATATAAATGGAGATTATCCAAAATAATACAGAGCGTCCCATATCATATTGGATTATCTCTAAGCTTTATCACCAAAATACGGATATTGTACTCGAAAAGCCTGTTATTGTTTTGCAAGAAAGTTTTTACATTAGCCTCATACAATATTTTTAAATTATTTTTTTTTTTTTATTTCTGATTAGTCCTTTAAATCTCAATTTTATAGGCATAAACGATCTAATATGATGTGGATATAAAAGTATCAAAAACCCAAAGTAATATTAAAAAATGAAAAATTAAAACAAATTCTTATTTTAAATCTGTTTGTAGAGTGGAGACTGGGACAGGTCTCAGGAGTTCTCCGAACCGGAGCCTGAAAGGAACTGATTTTCCCATTTTTAATTATTTTTTATCATTTGAAAAGAAATCAATGATAGTTCTAATCGAGGGATTCATTATGGTACCCATAAAACCTTTGTATGATAAGAATGACATTTTTAACTTTGAAAATTGATTGCTTCTGATTTCCGAACCGAAAAATAGAGATTAAAAATGTGACAACTGTCAGTGATGGTGAGAGCTCTAGTCTGCCGTCTCCTCCCTCCCAGTCCTCGAAACCAACTGTAAAACCCAGTATGGAGAGACCAGATAGAGCACAGAGTAATTACTCACATAAGACCGCCATATCAAAAAACTCGAAAACATCACGAGTAACCTCAAGTAGACCTCAGGTAGTTTACTGACTTACCTGACCTACCCGACCTACCTGACTTACCTGACCTACCTTACCTACCTTACCGACATGACCTACCTGAACTACCTCACCTACCTGACCTAGCTGACCTACCTGACATATCTGACCTACATGACATACCTGACCTAATTAACCTACCTACCTGACCTACCTGACCTACCTGACCTACCTGACCTACCTGACTTACCTGACCTACCTGATCTATATGAAATACCTGACCTACCCAATCAAAGATTTTAATTTTAATTTAAATTTAGGGCAAGACTGAAGTTTCCAAGATGCCGTCTATATCTTTGAATCCATTTTCTGGAGTTCTCTGGGACAGAAGAGAACCCTTTAAGCAACTGTGGATAACATTGTCAGGTATAGAACATTCAAAGAATAAAGAAAAGAAAAAAAAAGAAAAGAAAAGAAAGACCGAAATATATTTTCAAACAACATTATCATTAGCATCAAATTTTAAAAGATACTATCATGTTTAGCTATGTATGGAAAGTTTCTTGTACTTCTGATGATAGCCTTCTGTCTGATTGAAGTTATGGATAATAATATCAAACCTTTAACTTTCCAGGTAGGTTTCATACTTTAATACTGTGGGAGTCATATTGCATCAAATTACGCATTGCTCTTTATTCTCAAAAAATGTTTTATAATTATTTACAACGTAGACTTTACAGGGAATTTAAGGGAATTTAATGGTATTTTACTGTACTAAGGGTTCCCAAGACCAATTTTGCTTATAAAACATCCAGAGCGCAGCGAGAGATGGTTTTTAGTCAAAATTGGTAGATGGAACCCGGGGTATGTAAAAAAATCTATTTGATCGTCTTTTGGGATAAAATGCAAGAATTTTTTCTTGAAAATTTTCGCAGTTTACAAAACGGTCCCGAGGGAAGTTAGGTAACTGAACCTACCTCTGTTGGGGGATTCATATGTCGGTAATGTTGGTCAAAAAGCGATAAAAAATAGTATTAGGCTCTTCAAACTTGTAACTTGTTAGCTAAAAAAATAATTGGGTAATGGCCATCTTCTTAAAAATACCTAGTCTTTTTACCCTGTTTTCAAAAATGTTGCAACAGTTTTTTTTTCAGAAAAAAGGATTTTATGAGTAAATTGTTTGTTAGCAAAGTGCAAAGTAGACGTTAACGTCCTATTTTAAATTTTTCCCGTGAACACATTTAAAATCATTATATCCATCAGGGTTTAGGGTAATCCTTGAAATCTCTGACTTTTTAGGCATATTTCATGATGTATCTGTATATTGGATCTATTATTGCTATAATGTGTATATATATCACTGTTCTTCTGGACAACTGCCCTTCAGTATCATCGAGCAGGTTAGTCATTTTAAAGGACACACTTTTGAAGAGCTAGAGAGAAGAACAACAATGTTTTGAACTTTTAATTATATATCTTTGAAACCTGATGATGTTAATCTTTGATATTTTAAACCTAGACCATTTTAGCTCACAAAATTAATAGCTTGAAATATCAAAGGTCTACGAATTCGGGTTGCAAAGAAAAAGGGATTAGAAAATCAGAGTTTGTGGCAAAAACTCAATTCCTTAGTTTTTCCTTCTAATACTTCATTGATATATACTTTGGCAGAAAAAAAACTCAGAGGGAGCAGTTGAACGAGAAGTTCAGATCTAGCATAGACTCTACGCAATCTAGAATCTCTAAGGAATTGAGCTTTTACCACAAGCTCAAATTTTCTAATCTCTTTATATTTGAAACCTAATGGTGTACACCTTTGATATTTCAAACTTAGATTATTTGGTCTAACATAATTTGTAGTTTCAAATATCAAGGGTATACGACATTGGGTTGCAAAGATATTAGGATAAGAAAATCAGAGTTTGTGGCAAAGACTCAATTCCTTTAAACATTGTTTAACCGCTATAATCGTAACATTTTAATGATTTTCACCAACTTTATTTGCTTTCAACCACTTATGGAGAATAGCTTTCATTGAAACACGGTTTTTACCGCTGGGTTTAAGATTTTTCAGCAACTTTTTTGCTTTCAATCGCTGAGTTTATTATTTCTTTGCAACAATTGTTTGCTTTCAACCGCTGGGTTTAAGATTTTTAACAACTTTTTGCTTTCAACCACTGGAAAACAATTACTTTTAACTGGTGGGTGTAGGGTTTTTAATAACTTTTTTGCTTTCAAGAATTTACAGCAACTTGTTTGCTTGAAAGCAAAAACTTGCTGAAAAATCTTAAACCCAGTGGTTGAAAAAAAAAGTTGTTCAAAACCCTAAACCCAACAACTTAAAGCAAAAAATAATGCTTAACAATCTTAAACCCAGTGGTTAAAAACAAAATGTTTGTTCAAAATCTTAAACCCGGCGGCTGAAAGCAAAAAAAAATGCTTAAAAATTGTTGAAAGCAAAGAAGTTGTTCAAACTCAGTGGTTGAAAGCAAAAAAGTTGCTCAAAAATCTTAAACCAGCCATTGAAAGCAAAAAAAGTTTTTACTCTTTTAAATGTTAACGAAAAAAATTCGATTTTACCGATTGAAAAAAAAAATTGAGAAAAAAGGTTCATTTACGTTCTAGAGTGGGTAGAGTCTATGCTAGATCTCAACCGCTTGTTTAACTGTTCCCTCTGTGTAAATATCATTTCTAATATTTGATCGTAGATTCAACTGAGTTAATGGGCCACAAAGTTAAACCGGTGATGTCGCAAAATTTTGAACTTCGCCTTTTATTTATGTAGTGATAAACATATTCCATTTTGTAGTTATAAACATATTCCATTTACGTTTTATATTACATTTGTATATTGTATAATTTTAACTTTCACTAGAATAGGTATGCATGAAGCTATTAAAAAGGGAAAGTTTTTCAACCAATTTATTTAATTCATCAACCATCTGCTATACTTTACAACTTAATGAAACCTTGAATGGAATGTACACTATTCATAATCATGTTTTGAATAATGTTACATTAAAAGTTTTGTTTTTCTTAAAATTATTTAAAAATGATATTATCTAATTTACATTAGTTTTTATTGGTACAAGTTAGGTTGATAAAAATTATAATCAATGATTAAAAACATTTTTTAATACATGCGAACTTTTTTGTGTTTTGCTTCATTAATGTCATACAAAGACGAATTTGCTTACAATGAAAGTTCCAAAATTTCTAACACTGAAATAGGCCAAATCTGAAAATAACCTTTTTTAAGCGTATATATCTTTAAATCAAAGCCGAGTTAAACAAAACTACACCATACATTTATAAGAAATGGCTGAAACTATTAATTGAAACAAACCATGTCTACTTTAGACTTATAATAAGGTATGAGAATTAGATTTTGATGATTTTTATTTTCATTTTCGAACATATCTCCAATTTGAAACAATTACTGCATTTCAGCTTATGTCTCGTTTTTGAAAGATATCCTGGTTTTGAAACAAATACTCTCGAATTCATATAACTGTCAATTTTCAAATATTTACGCACTTACGTAACAAAACAAGGCAAAATATAACAAAATAGAAAACAAAAACATATTGTTCTTTTGTAATTAAAACAACATTACAGCATTGAGAAATCAAAACATACATTGTATTTGTTCTTGCATTGTAGAATTTACTATAGTAGTGTGGGAAATTGATTGTTTGAAATGCAGGAGGTATTTTCAAACATATCCTGAATTGGAATCATCGTCGCGTTGTCGAGACAAAACCCACTTTCCCGTTTATAAGTATAATCCGCAATTCAAAACAAAACTCATTTTCATAACTTACAAAATAAATCACTGAAAGTAAAAATTATTATATGAAGCCTAAATGAACTGCTAAATCATATTTAGAATCAAAGTTTTCACATTTTATTTGTTAAATATGAGAAAAAAGTTGATTTAACAAATTCAGGATATGTTCGAAAATGGAAAACCTGACATCGTCTTGAAACGTTCAAGGGTTTAAATATAATAAGAAACTAGGGAGATATTTTATCTCAGGGGTGGAGCTTTAGGTAGGTATTTTATCTCAGGGTTGGAGCTTTGGCTAGGTATTTATCTCAGGGTTGGGGCTCTACGTAGGTATTTTATCTCAGGGTTGGAGCTTTAGGTAGGTATTTTATCTCAGGGTTGGGGCTCTAGGTAGGTATTTTATCTCAGGGTTGGGGCTCTGGGTAGGTATTTTATCTCAGGGTTGGGGCCCTAAATTTTACATTTTTTACATTTTTTACTGTATTTGTATAATTAAATATTTGCTAATTCTAGTATTTGGATTGGGTACTCTCATCTTCAACGGTCTGGAGATTGCAATGCACGCAACTATGAACAATAAAAACTGTGTTGATGATGTTGTTCTTGCACATCCCATTCTTCAGGTTGAGCATTTATTGATTTATTGACCTTAAAGGGGGAGTGTTCGCAAAGATATTAGTCCTGATCGAATTCAGATTTGATCGTTATTAATTTTACATTTGCCTTTCGCGTCTATAAGAAGAAACTTTAATTAAATGTTAAGTGACCAAATTTTAAAGCGTTTATGTCCGATTAACAAAAGTGCCCTGTTCACCCATGTGAGCAACAATAAGGAAATTATTTTCGATTTTATATTTGAAAACTATTGAAATTCTTTCTTTGACTTTTCTAATTAAAGAGAAAATCCCAAATCGAATGAAATGAGTTTAATCTGTAAGAAAATAAAAAGTTTTACTTAGATGAAAGTGTTAAGGGAGGATGCGCCACTATCCTTGCAGGGTCACATAACTATGTTAAAATAATTAAAGGAAATTTTGTGTAAAGTATGTTTATGTTAAAGTATTGAATATGGTATAAAACATTTTTTTTGGTTATAAAGTAAACAGTGTATATTCAAAAAAAATTGTTCATCAATAATATTGCGCAGGAGCAACTTAAGACCAGTCGTTTTTTTCTTCATTTTTTAAACACTTTTTATTAATTTTTTTTCTCCATTTTTTAAATACTTTTTATTCATTTATTTTTATTTTTTTCAGGCTCTTTTTACCTTTCTGCAGATGCACTTCTTGTTTGTTAATTCGACTGTAATTGTGGAAAAATTCGGCCTTTTAGCCAGGTAGTCACTTAAACTTTAGCATTCGATATAAAAGATTATTTTATTCAAACACTTGCCCTACCTATTATTTTTTTGTTTTATGTGGAAAAAATGTCAGAATAAAGGCATTGAGTCTTTGCCACAAACCCCTATTTTCTAATCACTATATCTTTGCAACCTGATTTTTATATTTTAACCTTTAATTATTTATTCAACCAGAATTCAAATTAAAAAATGTCGTAGGTCTACGATACTAGGTTTTAAAGATAAAGAGATTAGGAAATCAGAGTTTTGGCAAAGATATAATTTGTTGAAAAAAGTGAAAAAATCTCTTTAAGGTTTGGATTTATCCACCTGGTGGCCACCAACCTATCCCTGTGGGTTCGAACTATTATCTGGGAAAGTGCTAGTGAATGGGTTCATCATGTTTACACCAAGAACCTGGCACCAGCGCCCAGTGACGTCATCAGAGTTCCAGATAGGAGCATAGAGATGACGTCATCAGAGTTCCAGATAGGAGCATAGAGATGACGTCATCAGAGTTCCAGATAGCCCGCTAGCATTCGGATTAGAAGGGTAAGGGAAATGGTCATTGTTACCTCAGAAAATATAATTAGGAGATACCTTCTTTCGTTCGTTCATCTTTAGTTTTCGTGCAAGTTCACAAAAATATTGTTCATTCTTCACCCATTTCGTTCGTTTTCTCAGTGAACGATCGTTCAGTGAAAAAGTTTGTTCTGTTTTAATTGCAAAAGTTAGCTAAAAAAAAATCCTTGTTTAGAAAAATACTTTTCGTTTTTAAAAATTTTGTTCCAAAAAATCATTCGTTCATAAAAAAACTATCGATTTTGTCAAAATCTTTTGAAAAATTTTATTCATATTTTATTATACTTCTATTAAAACTTTATTTATTTTTATAAATTTTCGAGAACATCAATATTATAAACGAGTTACACCATTTTATATATTATCAATTTTTATTTTAGTGATGATTTTGCGTTCCACGATAGAATAGATATTGGGAACTATGATTACACAGATAGATCTACAGCCTTCAGTCTTATTCAAGCCAATAGAGGTAAAACATAAACATATACTTATATTTTCAATATTTTTATTAATTTTAATTTATCTAGAAATAGAGTCCCTTGTTGATATACTTTTGGCACTGTATGACTATTTGATCCTTGCAAAATTTAAAATATAATTAGGTTGAATTTTCTTTTAGCAAATTATAAACGGAAACGAGTAATCAGTTCCATTGGACATCATTTTAATCAGTTGAATTGTAAATAATTTTAAAAAATAAATACATTCAACATTAATATATAAATTTTGCAGGAAATTTGCATTGCAACAATTCATTTTTGATGTCTCCGAAGCATATCAGTCAGGTATATACGGATCGCTGTAAACGAATTTAAATAAAAAAAAACAATAATTAAAGAAATGAAGATTTATTTCTCTTTTGGCCTCAATTCCCCTGAGACCGAATTTTATGAATTGGAGAGGTCGCTGAACTACGTACCGCCGGTTCAAAGTCTGAAACACTGATTCGACCCCTCATGAATCTTTATTCAACACTTGAACCGGTGCGGCGGTATCTAGTTCGTTAAATTCTATCCCTGATTAACAAGTATTTTGAAAAATTTAAATACGTTTATCCTCACTATATTATGTAAGTGTCCGTGAAGGGTATAATTGAAAAAAAGTGAAATTATAAAATGTACTGTATATATATACTGTTAGTATTGCAAACAATGTCTCAATTGTAAAAAAAAGGTCTCAACGTAACAACGTTTTACACCTAATTTTAATTTGATTAAACAACAAACCATGCGAAAAAATGGCAATTAATTTGTTTATTGCATTTGCAGATGATACGATCTGCCACTAAAAATAATAAAAAATGGAATGAAAAAGCAAAATATTTGCTATTTTTACAATTCTGAGAGTGTAAACTTTATAAGTGTAAAGAGACAAAGTTTATCTAAATTGAATAAAGTTCCCTTGCTAAAACTTTCAGTATTTATTCCGCGCATTGTTCTAAAACTTGAATTCATTCTAAAAAAGTAAAATATTTAGTTTTGAATTTTACTAAATTCAAAAATCATCAGATAAATTAAAACTATTTTTTGGTAATTTTACAGAGTCATAATTTGTCTTATTTAAAAAAAGAAAGAAATTAAGTCTTTGCCACAAACTCAAATTGTCCAATTCCTATATCTTTTAACATTGAATTCAAACTCAGATTTTGTGATCTAACATAATTCGTAGTTAGAAATATTTAAGTTCTGCGACATTGGGTTGTAAAGATATAGGGATTAGAAAATCAGAGTGCTTGGCAAATTCATTGTTGAATACAGGTAAATTACATCATATTTTGTAACGGACTCTAAGCAAGCCTGATTTCATCACAATAACTTGATTTCATTACAATAACTTGATTTCATTACAATAACTTTATTTCATTAAAATAACTGATTTCATTGCAATAACTTGATTTCATCACAATAATTTGATTTCATTATAATAACTTGATTTCATTACAATAACTTGATTTCATCACAATAACTTGATTCCATCACAATAACTTGATTTTATCACAATAATTTTATTTCATTATAATAACTTGATTTCATTACAATAACTTGATTTCATTGCAATAACTTGATTTCATCCCAATAACTTGATTTCATTACAATAATTTGATTTCATTACAATAACTTGATTTCATTACAATAACTTGATTTCATTACAATAACTTGATTTCATTGCAAAAACTTGATTTCATCACAATAACTTGATTTCATTACAATAATTTGATTTCATTACAATAACTTGATTTCATTAAAATAACTTGATTTCGTTGCAAAAATTACTATAAAGTTTGTAATTTAACCAATATCTCAAAGTGGTCCCCATTCGATTTCATCTCTGATAAGATATTTACAATTAATTAATTGTATATTTAAAATTAACTTAATCTTGCTTTTTACTTAACCGAAAAATGTTATGGATTATATAATATTCTGGTTTCGGTTAAAAAAAATGGTGAATTTCTTTATGAAAATGTTTTCCTTCTATTAGTTTTGACAGTTTTATTATCTCTAGAATATTTATGCAGTATTTTATCTTCACACTAACACTTTACAAAACTTATATTTAATGCATTTTTTCTCTCCATTACCGCCTGAAACAAAAAACAAAGATTGTTCTAAATTTTGTATAGATATTATATTTAAGGGTATAACTACATTTCTAAGAAAAAAGTATCTAAAATTATCGTTCTTTTTTAGAAAAATTCCCCCTATATTTAAATATGATCTCCGTACAGTGTACTTTGTTAAACGTAAATATGAGTATATAATCATTTACTAAATCGGCCATGTCCTGACTCCTGATAAATACCTTTAACTATTCCTTTCCTTCTTTCTTTTGAGTTCGTAAAGCTTTATGAGATCCTTTCAAATCGCTATTATTTGACCAAATCAGAAGCGAAAAGGAATTAAGTTTTTTCCCCAAACTAAAATATTCTTATGTCTTTGCAACCTGATGAGGTATCCATTTGATATTTTGATTAAAAAAGAAGTCATAGCTTAAAATATTAAATTTATACGATATAGGGTTGCAAAGATATAAGGATTAGAAAGAACTCAGTTCCTTAGTTTTAACAAAATGGTAAACAATTATTTCATAAACAGATCATGTCCTGATAAAACCTTTTTATAGCTATTCCTATCACTTTTTATAGCTATTCCTATCACTTTTTAGAAAGATTTCTTAAATTTTTAAATGATACTATAAAAATGTTATTATTTTGACCAATTAGAAGTGAAAACAAATATAATTCCAGCAAAAAGAAAAGTTGAAGTGAGTACTGGTTTATTTGTAATTTAGACTTAAATCGATTTTTTGATAATTTGTGAACATAATGATAGGATTCCTCTTACATCTGTATTTAAAGGTTAACAATTTTCATTAAAAAAAATGTTTAGTTTGATAGCCGCAGCGGTCACCTATATCATGTGGAGGTCTGTAGGACAAGATAAAATGTCCAAGGAATAATATATTTAGATTATTTTTAAATGTTTTTAAAGCCTTGTTACATAATCTTTATAGTAAAAATTCAGAAATATTCCCTTTAAGTATGGAACATGGTTTTTAAATTTACAATTATCATAAATTGTTTTAAAAAAAGGGTTAAAGTGAATTAAATATACCATCAGAAACAATTTCTACTACTTTTTTATCTGATTTTTTTTATTTAAAAAACTTCATAAATCTAAACCTTGTTCCAAAAAAAGCACTAAGTTATGTTGGTAAAACGTAGGAGGACGAACTAAATCAAATGTCTTCAGTGGTTCAACTAAATGCACCGAGTTTAAATACTTTTTACTATTTATCACTTTCAACCTAAAATGCAATAAAAAAAACGATCAACTAAATTTATTTATTCAATTTAAAAAAAAAACTGTTATGAAAGCTTTGAAAATTCTAATCTAAATGATTTGCTCCGAAGACTGAAGGAAAGAAGATGGAAGATGAAGATACAGCAAAGAAGAGAAAATACTGGAGGGTTGACTGCCAAAGTGCAAGCAAAGGTAAAAATAGATATCATCTTTATGTTCTTCATTATTTAATTCTTTAAATAATTTTAATTATTTTCTTCGTGATGAAAGATAATCCAGAATACCGGGGCCAAATGTTCTGGATCTATTCAGGTTCAAAGTTCACAAAAAGAAAAATGCCAAGCAACTATTGTCACGGAGAAATTAGAATTAGAAATTTGTTTTTGATTGTTTTTTATTTCAGGAGCAGAAATCGTTATTTTTGGTTTGAGCATATTCGCTTCATTTATTGGATTTATCCAGGTACATTTAGAATTTATTGGATTTATCTTATAAACAGTCTCGTCAATTTGACTTTGAAGACAGGATCGAATTTGAAGTGTCGCAACGCCTTGGGCTTAGATTTTACCGCTCTAAATCACTTATGCTTTTCTTAAGCTCTCTACATATTAGCAATTTAAAGTACTTGTTGTTAGCTTTGGTTTTTAAGAAGTAATTGGCAAAACTCTCATAGATTTTTGCTTGAGAGCGTGAGATCTTCAAATCACAGTGACTCAAGTTAAGAATTTAAATAGTCCAATGAACATGAGATACAGCAATTGTGCAGTGTAAACAGACCCATTTAACTTAATAAGTGATGTAATAAGTTACTAGTACTATTTATTTATTAACAATATCAAACACATAAGTATTGTTTTAATGTCGTTTTCCTATTCCACAGTTTTCTGATCCTCACTGTATGAAATCTGAAACAATGTTTAACGGATGATTTGTCGAGTTTAACCTCTCCGAACTAAAGATATATTTAAATTCGAGCGATTTTTTTTACTTGTTTAAAATAACAAAGATTCTTTAGTTTTCTGTCTAAAAATTGATAAGTTCTAACTTTAGTTTACTTGTGAAATCAACTGCGGATTAAACTCTTTTCACATCTTTACAAATCATTTTGGACTCTCATACGTAATTTCATGTAATTTTTTAGATTAAAGAGAGTGACTCAAAAATACTTTACATTACCAAATTTAAATTAGTTAAAATTTAAATAACAATTTTTGTTTAGATTCAGAAATTGTCGCACACCTTCAGTGCTCCTTATGATTTGGACACCCTGTTGTCAACTGTCACGATCACCGGAAGTTACATCTTCGCCATCTTTAGCGCACTTGCCGCGGTTATGTCTCTAGGAGAAACTAAGAGCATAATCATCTTTACTCAGAATATAATGCTCATAGTACAGATCACTTTGCAAGGTAAATATTCAGAGTTTGCCGCTACAGTTTTAATAATATATGTTTACCCTTGATAGCAGCATGTTCAACTATTTTTAAACTATTAATATTTTTTCCTAAATTAAAGGTTACAACTTTTTAGCGAGATTGATCAAAGTTAAAAATTTCATGAAAAATGACCAATTTTAATGGTTTAATTAAACATTAAAAGCTCTAGATGGATAAGATCACTTCTTGTACACTTTTTTAATTTTAATTTTCATCTTTTTTTCTTAGATGGTACGAGACATAATCTTAATATAGTAGGTTTCATTATAATTTCAATTCCCCCCAAATTTTAATAAATATAATTTTTGATGATTATATTGCATGGTGTTTGGTAATAAAAAATATTCTTCTCTCTTTAATTAAACCAAATTTAATAAAAATATTGTTAAGGTATGATTATGAGTGAAGCTGGCCGGCGTGTTTGTATGACTAGATCCCAGCAGACCGCTAAACCTGGCAGACAAATTATAACCTTCCTTCTCTTCGCTAATATCACTCTCTGGATCCTGGATACTTTCATCTCTAACAAACAGATCACTCAGGTAGATCGAGGAGATCACTCAAGTAGTTAAAAAAATCATTGAGGTATTTATAGGAGATTACTCAGGTATATTTAGGAGATCACTCAGGTAGATCTAGGAGATCACTCAGGTATTTCTAGGAAATCATTCAGGTAGTTCTAAGAGATCACTCAGGTTCTTCTAGGTGATCACTCAGATAGTTTTAGGAGATCACTCAGGTAGTTCTAGGAGATCATTCAGGTAGTTCTAGGAGATCACTCAGGTAGTTCTAGCTGATCACTAAGGTATTTCTAAAAGATTTCCCAGGTAGTTATAGAAGATCATTTAGGTAGTGCTAGAAGATCATTCAGGTGGTTCTAGGAGATCATTCAGGTACTTCTAGAAGATCACTCAGGTGGTTCTAGGAGATTTCTCATGTGGTTCTAGGAGATCACTCAGGTATTTATAAGATAACTCAGGTGGTTCTAGGAGATCACTCAGGTAGTTGATAGTTCAAGTGATGGTAATTAAAGTACATATAAAGGCTTGAAACCTATTGTTAGAAGAAGAGTAAAGTTCTAAAACATTGATCTAAAACAATCGAAAGCATTCTATTTGATTAATACTTTACTTTTATTATCCTACAGAAGAAGAATTGTCAGAATATTTTCTAGTTAATGTCAATCTACTCAGTTCTAATAAATATATAGGGTTATGGGTTATGGGCCGAGTTTTGACCGATTCATGTTCATAGCTCACTTTACTCCCTTTAAAGGAATTGGCAACGTTAAAATAATTGAAATAATAATTTAAGAACATTATCAACGGCTGAACTTAATATCAGAATGACAATGAATGCGAAATTGTTTTGTCTCCCCAATTTGTTTTCTTATTTGATCTATAGCGTTATAAATTATATGCTTTGCATAACAATAAGAAATACAGACTTTTAAAAGTGATTATGAACTCATTTCATTTTGATGCTTAGGATCCGGATCCGGGTCCAGGTCCTGATCTTCAAGATTTACTGATTTTTAGAGCAAAAAATAATATTTGGTTGATATTTTGCATCTTGGGTCCGGATCCGTGGAACTGCATTTTTTTATTGATCCGCATCTACATCCGGGTAGCCAAAATGGTGCTTATCAAACGGATCCGGATCTGGATCCTAACACTGCTTGTTTACCCATTTTTAAGAGAGCAAAAGAATTGAGTTTTTGCCACAAAATTAGATTTTCTAATAATGCTTTTATCGTTAAAACCCAATTTCGTAGACCTTAGATATTTCAAATTATGAATTCTGTTTTAAAAGGCTAATTTTTTTTTAATTTAGGGAATACAAACCGAGTTCTACGGTCTTCTAGCTTGGGGAATTATTTCAAGAATATCCCTTCCTCTTCTTATATTTTACAGGTAAAACTACATTGAGTTACACATTTCAGAAAAATATGCATTAATTTTAAGATCGGGCTTCTTTCTTAGTTTCACCTTTCCAACTTATCTTAGTTTTTGTAGCCCGGTATTGCAAAGCTACAACGCAAATGTTTATAGCTACATTGATTTGATTTATTTAAGACACAATTCAGCCTTTCGACCCTAGTGTTTTTTTTAAAGTTCCAGGTCGTCATGTCAGTCTAATCCTTTTCTTCATTTTGATGCCGTAACCTTTTTTACCAAATAATTTTTCAAAATAAACTAATTTTTTAGATTCCATTCTTGTGTTGTACTTGTGGAAATCTGGAAAAACACGTACAGGTAAAAAGACTCAAGAATTTCATTTATTGAATTTTTATTATTTGCACTAATTAGGAGAAATACATATGATACAGTGATAAAATCAATAAGTTTAAACGTTCAAGACCTCAAAACCAATCGATAAACGCTGCATTTATTACTTTTATGTTCTTCAACGTTGCTCATATTGTTTAATAATAATTGAAATTGAAAATAACTCCATCTATATTTATATTTCAGAACTAAGGATATCTTGTGAAACAACGGACCTGCCGCCAGCCCATTCATCTTTAATCTTTTCGTCTATCTTCATTCAGTATTCTCCAGACTTTCATATTCTTCTCTTTCTAATTATACATCTTCTTCTTCATCTTCCTCCTACACCCTCTCATCTTCTTCCTCTTATCAGGTTCGTCTTCTTAGGAGAAGAAAGTGATGAATCGCATCAAACTCTTTTGTTTAATAACTATATCTTTGCAAGCTGATGGTGTAAACATTTGATATTTCAAACTTTAACTTTTTCATCTACTTGACATAAAAGGTCTTTGGCGTGAACATTTTTTTTTTAAATAGTTAATTTATGTTACTGATTATCCTGTCATATTAGCAAAGGAATTGAGTCTTTGCCACAAATGAAAATGTTTTTTTCTAAAATTTATGATTTAAATTCATTAAAAAAAGTTTTCTTATTTTTAGGCTGATCTTCTTTATCAAGATCCAAACTCAAAATATTCAGGGATAATTTGGTTAAAAAATGTAAATAAATATTCTAATACTTTAATTTTTGTATGTCCTTGCTGTAGGAGTTTTAAAATTAAGTTAAATATTCATATAAGTGCTCAACACTTGCCTAAAACTCTAATTTTCTTATTCCAATGTAAATCTATTATTATTTAAACTTTGAATTAATTTACACTACCATAATTAATTATAGCTATTAAGAGCTTATTTAATATCTGATTTTCGAAATTTAAGAATTAGAAAAATAGATTTTGTGACGAGTGTTCATTTCCTTTAATTCAAATTTATAATAAAATATCTTGTCTTAAAAGAAGAAGACAGAATATCTCCCCCCCCCCATCTGCTGAACGACAGAATATCTCCCCTCCTCATCTGCTGACTAAACCTTGATTAAAATTTAAAGACTGAGCCTTGTTTCAAGAATTTAAGTTTTCTAAAATGTTTAATCTGGAACAATGACTGGAAAACTAGCAGGAGTTATTCTTCCAGGGGGAATACTCTCAAAACACAATTTCCCTCTTAATCTTGTTTTATTACAAGATGAATTCAAGACTGTGAAAATGTACTGTACTGTACACATATATATACTTTATATATATAAAGTAATAATATCTGTTTTTCTGTTTGTTTGTATGTCAAGTCATAACTAACGGACCCCGTGACCGATTTGCCTCAAATTTTGATTGGGAAAATCGGTAGAACCATGGAAATGTTCTTATTTGTTTTAAAAATTCGAAATTGACATGTTAATGGAAAATTTAGTATCCAGGCATAGCTGGGTTCCCAAGCTAGTATTTTATATGCTCTAGAAAAATAAATAAATACTTTTAAAATTCAAAATTGTTTCAAATAAAAATATAGCAATCAATTAATCACTTTGTCACATGCCTAGAATCAGATTATAATGCACCCTGCACAGAACACTGTTCTTGTAATCCTCCACCTCTACCTCAACGTAATAATACACTCTCTCACCTCACGTATCACGGATATGCAGGTCAACCTACAGGTAGCACCATTGTTTTTGTTTTGAGGCAGTCGCGCATATCCATCTTGCGGCATGGCGCGCTTAACTATTTTTTAATGATATACAACAATTATTTTTAATACTTAAAGGGAATTTCGTTGTAATTTCAAGTGGCCTTTTTTTGAAAAAAGGGGGTATGCCAGATTTACAATGGTACCAAACTCTATCTGATCAATAATGTGGAAGATATTGTACTTGTGCTATAGCTTTAAAAGCGTTTAATTCTAACAGTCATTTGTTCAGACAAAGCTTGAAGGTACCGTTTTGAATCTGACATGCCAGCTAAAATTACGTCTATAGTCCCTTTAAAATGTTTAATTTAAATTCATTTTCTTTTACAAATAAAGAAAAAATTGATCTTACATATGTAAAAGGCTTCAATTCCATATAAAGCCATAAAGATGAATATATACAGGGTTTCCCACACAGGATGAGACTGCAAAGACGACCGGAAACTATTGAAATAATACAGTTAGTTAGTTTATGTATTTTGCCTTAGATATAGTAACCTAATATGGCTTATTCAATGATTTGGCAAAGAAACAAATAAGTTTACAAAAGCAGGAAAAAAGGAAATAGAGGGTATGAATTTCGTACAATCGTCTCTGAAGTCTCGTCCTTTGTGAGTAACCCTGTACATATACAGGGTTACAATCACAGGATAAGACTGTAAAGACGACCTGAAACTCTTTAAATTTGACAATTTCGAGGTTAAATTAAGTCTTAAATGCCTTGATTATAATCTTTATATGGCTTATTCAATGATCCAAACTTTGCGCGGTCCTAGTTTGGGCTTTGCCGCCAATTTACAATTACTAAAGCGGCAGACCGTGTGAATCATTAATTTTCAATTCATTCAATTCATTTTCATTATTTTGTAACAAGCAGTGGTTTTAAAAATGTTTAGCATACTGTACTTTAATATAGGATCTGTGATGACCAGTTTTACTGAGAATCAGCTGATTTCTTTAAAAGAACAGCTAAGTTTTCTCCCCGGTCAGCTGATATCCCACGAGATAAACAAATACAGATATACACCAAACTCAGAGGAACCAAGTTTACAAAAGTGCTGTTATAATCTTGGGAAATTGAGGAAATTTTTTGGACACATTGTAACTTGAAAGTAAAGAAATTGATTCTTTGCCACAAATTCTGATTTTCTAATCCCTATATCTTTGTAACCAAATGTCTTTACATATATCAAACTATGAGTTCTGTTTGATCAAATAATCTAAGTTTGAAATATCAAAGTTTTACCACCATCAGGTTGCAAAGATATAGGGAGAAGAAAATTTGAGTTTGTGGCAAAGACTCAATTCCTTTACTCCTACTGCACTAATGTATGTACGCGTAGATAATATTATTTTTATAATCTAGATTTATTAAAGGGGGAAACCAGCTAGACATGGTAGTTGAGCTGAAAGTGCAGCATATGTAGAGAAAAACTTTAGAATTCATTTAATACCAATGAGACATATCTTTATCAGTGAAACATTTTTAAACAAGAACGTGAAGTCATTTGTTATATTTCACCAGTTGTTTCAGTCAGCAGAAGAAATGTTTTTTTACAATTCTTAAATAACCTGGACTAAACATGTAACAAATACTATTAAACAAACTATGTATACTAACAGGTTGAAAAAATTAATGAACTTATATCATTTCAAGTTTTAAAATTCATTTTAAAATCTCGCAGGTTTATGCAAATTCTTTCAGCTAAGGTCTTTTTTTTATTGTTAAGACGGCATTTTGAAGAGATTTGCGATTGAAATTATAAACAAAGCAAAGAAAATGATGATAATGAAATAATCGATTTTACAGTTCTACTATGGCAATCACCGAAAATTTCTATACAGAAATATGTTCCTTAACAGCAAATAAGTCTATAATTAACATTTTTTTACATGTTTTGTCCACTGACTGAAACAACTGGTGAAATATTACAAAAAACTTTATGCTATTATTTAACATTTGCATAGTGTAAAAACGTCTGGAAATTTCAAATCATTAAATATTTCCAACAAATTAATTGTTTATTTTTCTTCTTTGTTTTGTAAACTAGTTATTATCCTTAATTACCTTTTTTTGATTTTAACATTTAATATTTTTGAATTTAGCTTTAACTTGTATTTTGTAAACAAAGTATTGGTCCAGGGTCTCGGGAGTTTAATCCTTGAGAGTAAACAATACGTTGAGGAGATAAACAGGCGTAGAGAGGATATACATAAAACACTGGCTAGAGGGGGGAACCCTAACCATAAAGTTGGCACCATTATTGGAAATAGGTAACTCGAACCAGCCCTAGAGCGGCGAAATCTTAAATTTTAGGCGGTTTTGGGGCCCACAACTGATGATGAGCCCCCCTCCCCACAATAAAAAAATAGGCACCCTCCTAGACAAATTCCTAACCATGTAAATCACAACAATCCAACAGTGCAGCATGATCCGAACCGGTATGTATAATGATAAATCTGGTGTACTGTCCGAGTCCCGTTTATTTATTTCCATGTTTATAATGTACTGCAACTGCTTATGGTTGCCCAGAAATCGGTCCGATACTTCAAATGCAAAAAATATTGAACCGCTTTTTATGTCTCCTTTGTGATAATTTTTAGGTACATACAGTGAGAACCAGAAAGCTGTGGAATAGGAAGACGGCATTAAAGAAATATTAAGTGTTTTGATGTTGTTACAATAACATAGCAAATAGTTCTTATCGTATAACTTGTAAATTCACTTATTAAGTGAAATTGGTCTGTTTACACTGCACAATTGCTGTGTTTTATGTTCATTGAACTAACAACTTTAGTCATAAAGTCGTCGTACTATTCCTAAGTTTTATGGTTATCACTGTAGTACTTTTGATTATAGTTTTAAAAATATGTCTAGATTTGAGCGAACTCTTGTAAGAGCTATGAGCAAAAAGAATTCCCATTCAAGACACTCTGGTTCCAGAAAACTCACAGTTTCTCGTAAATCTGGACTCACCCAAAAGCGCAGAACGGCCCCGAAACCAGGTCGTCTTCTACGTTTCCTGCTGCGTCGAAGGAAACGATCTAGTGCGCATGCGCGTCTCATTAACGAACAAGAGGAAGATTTTGCAGAAGGGGAAGAGAGGTTAGTTATACTTTTCTTTTAAATTCTTCTTCTTTTTATTCTTTTTCTTTTTTTTCTTTTTTATTCAATTTTTTTTTAATATTCTTAATATTTTTCGCCCTAAAATTCTAACGTTGGACTTCAGTTATATAAAGTTTTATAAATTGTTATTAAATATCATGACAATTGTTGAAAAATTATAGAAGTCGTGAATCTACTCCTCGCTTGATCATTGATTCCTCTGGTGCCTTGTGTTGGCCCCCAGCTAGCTCAATAGGCAATACAGGAAAACAAGCTGAAACACCATACACTAATAGGAAGGTATGTAGGCCCCTAGCTAGCTCAATAGGAAATACAGGAAAACGAAATAAAAATCGCGGACAGTAGTAGAAACAGAAACAGATTTAATGCCTTTGACAGAATTAATTTGACCAATATAATGTTTCTCGATATTCCTTTGGGTCAGATTGAGTGATATAAATAGTAAAAAATTGCACAAGTGCGTGAACTACTATCCAAATTATTATAAAGTTATCATAAAAATCCCGATTTTTACAATCCACGCCAATAAAATACTTGTTGTAAATGTTATGCTCTTTTTCTAATAAAAATTAAGTTTGAATATACATCATCAAATACAAAATAACAAATTGAAATCGTCGTTTTATTTATTTTGTATTTTTATTTTAGATTCTGAGATCTGATAATTTTTCTTTTAAACGTTCCACTGATTCTTCTCCACAACCCATTCACCACTGGCGACAGGTAAAAAAAGAAAAAAATGTATTTTAATTCTTTATATTTGGTGAGAAGTTAAAATAGTATCAATCGATTGTGCGCCTGATGCTTTTTTTACGATTGTATCCAAA